CAAGTAGATTAAGATAATAATAAATTAATATATCTGTTTTCTTTAACAAAGTAAATGAGAATATGAAAATATGTATCTGTTTTCTTAACAAGTAGATTGAAGATAATATAACAAAACTCTTGTGAATCTAGTTGAAGGTCAACTTGCCAAGTTCTGGTCATTTTCGATTTGTAACAAAGTGTGTGTGTGTGTTGGCTGTGTTGTGTGTGTGTGTGTCGTGCATTTGTCTGTTGCAGATGCATGTATAGTTGTGTTGTAAAATTGTTTCATTCAGTCTCTGTATGCTGGTATAATTTATCTAACAAAGTATGCGACAAGAAACAGATAAGTAGTAGATAAATAGCATGGACAGACAGTTAGTAGATAGATAGATAGATGAGACAACAGTTAGTAGATGATAGAATAGTGGAACAGACAGTTAGTAGATAGATAGATAATGGACACAGTTAGTAGATAGATAGATAGATGACAGACAGATAGGCAGATAGATGGACAGGCAGATGGGTTAAAGAGATAATAGTGACAGACAGATAGGTTAATATGGACAGACAGATAGTAGATAAATGAACGACAATTAGTAGATAATAGATGGAAATCGAAGATTTTTCCGTAAATGCATATCATCAACATTATAGTTATCATAATTACAAAATGAAATAACCGTGATGGCTGTTTGATGTCATTTTGCTCTTTCATTTTTTCGAACTAATTTGTAAAGAGAAAAGGAGAAAGTAAAGACGAAAAAAGAAAGAAGAAGAAAAAAACATCCAAACACATTTTTTATCTTGAATTTAAACGCAGTTCAATATGTTGGGAAAAATGTAAAGTTCAATAAATACATTTATTTTTGTATGATTTCAGTGTCTTCTTGGTGATATACATTCGACGTCTGTATAAAGGAGATAATTTATAAAGGGAACAAAACAGAGCATGTGAGATCAAAGAAAATTCGATCAGTTACTNGATAAGCATTAAAACCCAAAAATTACAAAAAACAGACGTAAAAAATAAAGTAGAAAAAAAATGACCAGACAGAGGAATAGGGGGGAGAGATGTAAAACAGACAGACAGGACCAGACAAAAAAAAAAGAGAGCAAGACAGAAAGCAATAATTCCCCATCCGAAGCCCTCCGTCGGGATCGGAAAGTTGGCAAGACAAAGTGGTCGCCTTCACAAGTCTCGTCATAAATCTCCATTGGAAAAATCCAGCGATTGGCAATGAGGAGGAACTGCTGGATAAGCGTTCTCGCATGCAGGGAAAAAACGGATTTTTTTTTTTTTTTTTTTTTTTTTTTTGAAAATGAAAATGATGATGTGAGATTAAAGAGATGGTGAAGATAAAGATTGATAAATGAATTAGGAAAAAAGTTTTTTTTAATGAAAATAGATGATGATAATGATGATAAAGATGATAGATATAATGATCTTGAATATGGTAATGATGATAATTAGGTTGATATTTAAAATGTGATGATAATATTTAATATTAATGATGCGATATTGAAGATATAATGTGACAATAATATAATGATAATTGTATAATAAAATAAGGGTATGATGATGATGATAATGATAATATTTGATGATAATTATAATAGGTTATAATGATAATGATATAATAATAATAATATAAGTAATATAAGATATAATATGGATAATTAATGAGTAATAATGAATAAAATTCAAGACAAGAAGAATTTTGATAAAATCAAAAAGTTTGATGAACGATCCAAAAATAGAAATAAAATTGAAAATTAGAATTTCGAAGAATGCAACAATAAGATATAATATGATAAAACAAAGAATCAAGACCAAAGGAGAATAAAGAAAAAATAAGAAGAGAAAGTTATGAAAAAGCAAATAGATATACACTGAAGCAGAAAGAAGAGAAGCAGAGAACAAGGCGAAAATAAGAGAAAAAACGTAAATAAAAGAGAGAAGGAGGGGGGAGAGGGGGAGAGGGAGAGAGAGAGGGATAAAAAAGAATCAGAAAATATGAAAAACCGCGAAAAATGGAAGATGGAGAAGAAGAAGAAGAAGAAGAAAGAAGGAAGAAGGAGAGAGAGAGAGGAGCAGAGAAGAAAGAAGAGAAGAGAAGAAGAAGGAAGAAAGAAGAAGAAGAAGAAGAGAAGAGAAGAAGAAGAAGAGAGAAGAAAAGAAGAAGAGAAAAGGGGGACACAAAAACAAAACGAATAATAATAATGATTTTAGAAAATACAGTTGGGAGAAAAGGAACGAGAAATAAGAAGGGCAATAAAGACAGATAAAATAAAATGTCCGAAGAAACAACAAAGATAGAAATAAAGATAAGAATGATGAAGATGGGAGAGATGACGATATGATGAATATGATGATATGATAATAATGGAAAAATTAAGAGATAGTAGGGAATGATTATGTATAATGAGAATCATTATTAATGATAATGATAAATAATGAGGAACAATGATAATGATTGATGATAGTGAGAATATTATCAATGATTGATAAGGATAATAAT